AATATCAGTTTTGAAAACATAATGAGCAGCTGAATAATGTGAGTACTAATTGCATCGAGAATTGAATATTCTGACATAGAGCTAGGTACATTTGATGTATCATGGAGCAAGATTGATTTGCCACCCAATTATACGTTGCCAAGGTAGTTTGTTTCAATAAAATTTATTATGAAATCAGCTCTTAAAACATGTCACTATAATGAACGCGTACAAAGCTTGATTTTTCAGTTGCTTTTTTTGTTTTCATTTCGACACTGAGTAACATACGACTCTTCTTTACCGTGTTTTATTTCTGCTGCGTTTCCCAGAAGAATATTTCTCTATCGTTCCAAGAAGAAGTTGCCTGGTTATCTGCGCCCGTGATGCTATTAGTGGAGCGCATTGTGTTGCTCTCATTCGTCAGAGGTCTTGAGTGTTCGTTCGGAGGTTGCATCGATCTCTGCGGCGCGCCGGCAGCCATCTTCACAGTTCCGGTTCTCTTTGCCGGAGGTAGCGGCGCGCACGTGCTATCGCGATTGCGCGCGTCAGCCGTGGACGCGATGGGGCCGACGTCGGCGGGAAGAGGCTCGGCGGCAGGGGCGACCAGAGGGGGCGCAACGTGCCCCACGCCCCGACTTAATTGGGCCCCCTGTTTTTTTTCATTTAAAAGAAATTAAAAATGTATTAATCCAAATTTAACGCTTGCTAAACTTTTTTAGCTAAATTATATGCGTAATAATTATATAGCATAACTAAATTTTATGTTATTTTTAATGCTTGGATAACTTAACTGTTTATGAATGGAGTATGATGGGGAGTAGGGATTAAAAAAATATTTTTGTTTGACTTTATTTGATTTTATATATTTTTTATTTTTTATTTTATTTGTATTTTATTTTTTAGAAATTTTTGTTTTATTTTTCTTTATTATATTTTGTTTGGAACAAGAAGCCCCCGTGGCTCAACTGCCCCCAACTTCTGGTTTGCTTTGGGCGTCCCTGCTCGGCGGTGTCGAATGGCCCGAGTACAGAGGCTTCGGGAGGGCGATGCCCAACAGACGGGTGCTACTTCGCTCGGGAAACATTGCGGGCGTTGCAGGGAGTTGCGTGGGAGAGGGGTGGGTGGCGGCGGTGGGGGAGGAGCGTCATTACCCACGCGCTATCGTGCGCCCGGTGATGGATGGCTCGCCGCCTGACTTGCTCGGATCGTCATCTCGTTCTCCATAAATCAACGCGCGCCGCTGCCGCCGATCCCCTCGCCCCACCCGCGGCCGATGGCGTGCGCTACCGGTGCCTTGGCAATTTACGCGGCTTTCTAAGCGGAGCACCACATTCGCACGGCTTGCAAAAAGCGTTTGTTTTATTTTGCATTGTCTGCGTGCAATAGATGCTGCGTCATTATAACGTCGTGTTCTCAAAATATCGTTCATTATTATTTCCTAGCGATATGATTTACTGATCCAATAACACACGATCAAAACCACCGGTTTAGGTGACTCAGTGGGTCAACTGATGCCACAACAGTGCCTTAAACAGGGAGGTCCTTGGGTTTGAGTTCAGACAGTGCTGGATTTTCGACACTGGATAGGTAACTGGATCGAATTCAACTCCTGTCTGGAGGAGCAATGTAGTGGCCTGCTGCTCTGATCGGGTAGTTTCCCTTGGTTTCTCCGATCAATTCTAGGCGAACGCTTGGCCCGATGTTACGCGAACGCTCTAACAAACGGACCCTTCCTCTTCCTCGTCCTATTCCCACCCTTTACTTTCACACGCTTACACTAACATGCACTTCACTAGAACATATGCCGGGAGGCTGGTTAGGAGCTTAGAGCTTGTCTCGGCAGGGGCATTGCCCCGCTGGTGGGGGATAGCTGTTAGGGGCAAAAGCCCGCAAGCCAACGAGTAGGTCGGCGTTGGATCTCGCCATCTAGGCGAGGGGGAACATTGCCCCCTTCCGCGATAAAAAGCATACACTGCACTTACGGAACCAGTGACTTTCCAGTTGACGCATCAATATATAATCAGTACCCTGATAAATATAATTTTATCGTTCAGTTCTTTTAAATGCGTAATAGTGATTTCCAACCTGCAAGGTGCTTTTTGCCATTTATTGAAATTGTGTACTTTGTGATATCGAATTAGGAGTTGGTTGCCAGCCGTGGATGAGAGAATTCGAAGCGCCCGGGTGGGGGGGGGCGGGGGGGGCGGAAGCGGAGGGCGCGCCGGAGCACGCGCCGCGGAGTCCCGCGCCCCCGCAGGTGCAGCGCCGCCGCCGCCTATTAGCGCCTCGCCCCGCGCCCACAATGCGTCGTTAATTACGCGCCTTTCAGCGGCTCTCTCTCCTCCCTCCTCGCGCCAGGGCCATCAACGCTGTGGCGGCCTCCCCTCCCGCCTCTCGCCAGCGAGAGTACGTAGGCTGCCCTTTCCCTCCTCCTGACCTCGGGCTCTTGGGTTGTATTTCCTATTCTCTCTCTCTCTCCCTTTCTCACACCACTCTCTCTTGCTCTCTCTCTCTCACACACACACATATTTACACACTCGCACACACTCACTCAATTGCAATGTATCTCTCTCTCTCTCTCGCAAATAACAACCAACACACTCTCATACACACACTCACAATCACACCTCTCTCCGTGTCGTCCTCTCTCTCAGCACTTTCACACACAAACACACCGACACTTCCCCTCCCTGTGATGAGCTAACTTCTCGATCTAAGCATTATATTTTTGATATTTTTTATTTCTTTTTCTCAATCAGCTTTTCTACTCGCTCTTTTCCTCGAATATTTTCAGCATAATTTCTTTGAATGCCCATTTTCCGCAATGTTTTTATCACGTCATGTTCTCTGAGCTATCTTTTTTCTCCTCTCGTTTTCTCCACGCTCCTTCTGTAGTATACCGAATGGTCGCGGGAGCTACCTTTAAGGCCTCCCGCCCTGCTCTGCTTCCACCGCCGCTGCAGCGGGACTCTCGCCCACGCCCCTGTTGTTTCCTCACGCGCTCCTTTACGACGTACTGTTCCACTCGATTTCAGGCGTTTTTTTACTTCACGTTTACGACCTACACCGTTTTACCACTGACTAGTTCGGTATCGAAGAGCGTTCAAATGGGTGAAGTAAGAACTTAATACGTCCCTCCCCCCTGGTCGATTATCGCAAACGTGTCCAATTGTATATGAAGTGATCGATGTGATTTTCATTTCACGGATATAAACATAATGAATATAAAATGGAGATTTATCCCCAGTTATAATACACATTGTGTTTAGAGCCCACAAAATGAGAAGCTCGTTTATATATTAACAAAAAAACGTATGGAAAAGTATCTTTAGCACGAACAATCTTCAGTTTGTTTTCCCGAGAGAAATATTCATTTATTTCGTTATTACACAAGAAAAATATTCATTTATTTCGTTTCAAGCCTACTAAAGTAATGTAGATGCAAATTTAATGCCCATCAGCTGGAAATAAGAATTAGAATGAGAATAATAGATGTTGGTGAATTACAATAAACGAGCCGTGCAAAATCTTCAGAACCGAAGATGTGTATCTCATATACATTCTGCCTACTCCGAACAACAATGTTTTACGGCTTGCTTGGCTCGGAGCGTCATCGCAACTTCAGATCAGAGTAACTCACCGCGCCTTAAGTCACTCGAGCACCGAGGCCGCGCCCAGCTGGGCTGCGAGGAGCTATTCTCGGCGTGGCCGCCGCCTTGTCGTCGGGCGCTCTGCCTATTTCCCCTTACTCTCGTAAGAAACCTGGTACTCGCCTCGGTATATAAACGCACCTTGTCGCAACATGCTTTTCTTCTTGAATATTCCTAGATAAAGTTTGATGATTGACGTTCCTTCGTAAAGATAAAGTATTCAGTATTACGGAATATTATGCGTATCAAAGTAAATGTAACTATGTACACCTAGGCATGTGGCAAATGATCAAGATTTGGGGTTATACGTTTTGTATCTTACCTACGATTTTTTTCGCTTATGAACTAATTTCTAACAATCCATCATTTTCCATTATCACCAGTTAATTGTCACCAGTTTATTTCTCTCTCTCTCTCTCTCTCTCTCTCTCTCTCTCTCTCTATATATATATATTATTATATATATATATATATATATATGGATATTTGCCTTTTTCGATTTCGTCCCGTCAGCGAGTAAAAGAAGTGTAGCGAGTAAAGAATCACACATTATTGGGGAGCACACAAAACATTTTGATATTTTCCCTCTTGTATATTGATTGATTAGTGATTCCTAACGCGTCAACTGCTAAAATCAATAGGACATGTGCATATTTTGCATATTTGCAATGTGCATATTTTTATCTCTTGTGATCCTCCCCCACTAGATGGCGAAATCGGGCGTCAACCTAGAAGCCGACTTGCGGGGTTTTCCCGAACAAGGTATCTCCCACCCGAACTGCACCGTCTGGGGCAAGCGCTAAGCTCCCGATCAGCCTCCAGAAATGTGTGGTAAGGTAGAAAATTAACGTTGGAATGTGTGTAAATGAGAATAGAACAAGGAAGCGTTAGGAAAGATCGGGCGCGATTCTTGGTTCGTTTGTTAAGGTTTTGCTGCGGTATTCGCCTGGTATTGATTGCAGAAACCATGTAAAATTTCCGATCAGAACAACCTGCAGCTATAATTCTCCTCCAGACACCAGTGAATTAGACCCAGCTACGTAGGTAGTGTCGAAACTCCTGGTACTGTTGGGACTTGTACCCAAGGGCTTCCCGGTCAGAGGCACTGCAGTGACATTAATTGGTGCCGTGAGCCGGTCCCAATCAGAACGTATGACATCAGCAACGAGAATTCATTGAATATAAATTGAAAACATAATACCCTGTTGGATTTTTGTTCTTTTTCTTGTAGCCTGGTCATTACCCCTGTCTTATGAATCCTTTTTATCCCGTCTCTCAGATGCACTCCCTGTCGGAGTCTTTCATACAATAGAACATAATATCAGAATTAGTATTTACGACATAAACCTGAAACAGTTTTTTTTGTTGCAGTGTTCAAGAGGCATGACGCGGGATTGCATCATATGCCGACACCCAATATCGGTTTCTCCAAGGTAAGATTTTATTAATTTAGGTCATGATGAAGATGGCTGAAAAAGTTTTGAGTCGTTGCATAAAAACAGTGAATTATTGCGTCATGCTCATTTGACTATGAATGCGTATTAATACCTACGGCACAAATCGTCAGAATGGTGCTACTACTACACACACTACTAAAATGCACACTATTTATCAACTACTTGACAGGTGCGCGATATGACAGACGCTTTTGTATCGACTACAATTTTGGTAAACAGCTTCCTCTTGAGCAGTCCAGTGTTTTGAACGTCGAAGCTTCTTTTGCAGTTCCCACAACCCGTTTCTTCAGCCGTCAGCCCCACTCAGAGCGCGTTTTCTTCGCATTCAGACTTGACGCGCGAGACACCTGCGATCACTGCTGCAGCTGCCTCGTCGACGCTCGATCTGACACGACGGTGGGCGAAAAATGGTGCCGCATCCGCAATTATCAACACATTGAGAAGAGTCTCTTTCTCCTCTTGGCCAAATGCTTTAGCTTTTGAATTCTATATTTAGTTCCATTATTTTCTACTCTATTGAAAACGGTTCTGTGTTTAAATGATCTGCTTAACATACCGTTAGATGTCATAATTTCTATAAGAACTTTTATTACAATTTGTGGTTGATCATATATTTATCTGAATATTTTTTGTTGGGAACCCATTTGCTGCATATCTTTCCACTCTTGGGTTTACTCTTGTATATCTCTAGTACTAATTGAGGTTTCCGTCTCAAGTATTTTCTGTTGTCTAGTACACGACACCTTCGACATCTGGCATTTCTAAACAGATTTATTCACTTGAAACAACAGAATAACCCTTATACTCTAATACAGCCATAATAGACAATCCTCTTTGGCGTTCATTGAACTTTTTTTTTCACTTAATACATCATACTTCATTCATTTGTCTCCAGCTACAAGACAAAATCATGAGTATCTATCAACCTTCTTTGGGTGCCGACGTCGTAGCAATCTTGTGTGATAACTCGTGCCTTCTTTAATTCAATTGTAGGCTCAACTGTAGTGCAAAACAAGTGTAGTGCATGTGTGTCGGTGCGTAAGGGGGACTTGAGTAAACAGTCGCAGTTCATCAATATCATTGTTTTCCTGAGAAGGGAGTGTGGTTGGAAGCGAAGTCATGCAAGCAAAGGTTGTGTACCTGGCAGAGAATTAAAAAAAGTAGCCGTAGGAAGCGAAATGAACATATCACAGAAACTAGACTGCTTAGGTTCATACAAGTTATGACAAACGATGACGGAAGCTAGTGTAAAGGTCAAAGAGAAGTAGGTAGGAAGATAGGTAGATACATTTATTATTCGAAAACAGCAGGAAGTGTTTCATGATAATGATTATAATAATAAACTAATAAAATAACAATTATTAATAATAATAATAATAATAATAATAATGAAGAAGAAGAATATACATCATAGCAAATATGATTAGTAAGCAAAAAGAAAAAAAAACGCACGTGCAACAGAACCATTGCATCAATTTCGGGAACGTTACA